CCCCCCCCCCGCCCCCCGCCCGTGAAGTTGGCCTCAGGGGTTGGGCTTCTGGCATTCCAGCTGCTGCAGGGGACACCGCCCTCCTGCAGCCCAGGCTGGACTTGGCTGTGGCCCACCTCAAGGGGCTTGGCCTCGGGTGCCCGCCCACCCAGCCACCTGCCCCTCCTCCTCAGTGCTCCTGACGTGGGTGAACAGCTCGAGTGTGCGCTGGGCCACGCGCATCCAGGACGTGTTCACCGGCGGGAAGCTGCTGGCCCTGTCACTCATCATTGGCGTGGGCTTTGTCCAGATCTTCCAAGGTAGGGCCGGGCTGTGGGGGGGGCTGGGCACAGGGCCAGGGAGATGACGCTGACCCTTGACCTCCGGACCCCCAGGACACTTCGAGGAGCTGAGGCCCAGCAACGCCTTCAACTTCTGGATGGCGCCGTCTGTGGGTCACCTGGCCCTGGCCTTCCTCCAGGGCTCCTTTGCCTTCAGCGGCTGGAACTTCCTGAACTATGTCACCGAGGAGCTGGTGGACCCTCGAAAGTGAGTGGGGCTCTGGCCAGGCCCTGGGAAGGGGTGTGGCGTGGGGTGGGAGAGGCAGCCTCCCCACACGGAGCCGCTGTCACCTCTGGCCGGCCTGGTCATCTGCCCGACCACACTGCTACCCACCGGGAACGGCTCTGGAAAGGCAGCCGGGACGCTTGTGTTCCAGCCTGACCCTTTTCTGTATGGCTGTGGATGAGTCACGGCCCCTTGCTGGGCCTCAGAAACACTGAGTATCATTGTCTCGCTGTAAATGGATCCAGCTATTTGCACTTGGCCAAAAATTACACATGTGCACACAACATGGTCCCTAAAAATGAAGCCAATGGCTCCCTCTGATGCTCAGCTGGGACCTTGACAGTGAACAGTTACAGCTGGAGCTGGGGCTGATGGGAGTCCCAGGGGACCCTGGTCTGTGGACTGAGCTCTAAGGGCGCTTTGAGGATTTTCAAGGCTGATTTTGGCTGTATGCAATCTCCCAGACATTAGATCCGCCCCCCTCCCCAGGATATGAGTGGCCCCTCCTCCATCTGCCCTTCCTCCCACCAGCCTGTGCCAAGGCCGGGCTGGGGACCAGCGGGGAGACAGACAGCAGTGCTTCCCCCTCCGCTGCCCCAAGGCCCCCAGCAGACCCAGGAGATGGAGGCTCAAAGCTGCTCCCATTGCTGGGTCCCCTGCCACTCCCCACCACCCTGAGGCCCCGTCCCTCAGCCCCGCACGGGCTGATGCTGACACACTGCACCACTGTCCCCAGGAACCTACCCCGCGCCATCTTCATCTCCATCCCCCTGGTGACCTTCGTGTACACCTTCACCAATGTCGCGTACTTCACTGCCATGTCTCCCCAGGAGCTGCTGGCCTCTAACGCAGTGGCCGTGGTGAGTGGGGCCCCGCTCGGTCCTGGCTCCTGCCCGGCCTCCCCCCTGCCTCACGCACCACCTCTCTTCTGTGCCCACCCAGACCTTCGGGGAGAAGCTGCTGGGCTACTTTTCTTGGGTCATGCCCGTCTCCGTGGCACTTTCCACTTTCGGAGGGATCAATGGCTACCTGTTCACCTCCTCCAGGTGACTGGACTGGGAAGAGGGTGGTCAAGGTGAGGCAAGGCAGCTGCCCTGGTGCACACGAGCAGTGCTGGGGGCCAGAGGAAGTGAAGTCCTGCCCGGTGGGGCCCACCTGAAGCTGGGACGATGAACTCCCCGGAAGCAGATGTCTGATCCCAATTGCGAGGAACAGAAAGCAAGAGGGAGGCGGGCTAGATGAGGGGAAGAACTGCCCAGTGGGGCTGCTGGGGCCCAGAGCAGGGAGTCGGAGGTGACAGCTCAAGAGGGCCATCCGGTCTAGAGCTGAGGTCGGGATCTGGCCAGCAGCGAGGCCCCAGGCTGGGCTCATGGCTCCCACCCACCTCTGTCCCCACCCCCCAGGCTGTGCTTCTCTGGAGCCCGAGAGGGACACCTGCCCAGCCTGCTGGCCATGATCCACGTCAGACACTGCACCCCTATCCCTGCCCTCCTCGTCTGCGTAAGTTGGGGGACCCAGGCTCGCAAGGCGGGGAGCCAGGGCCACGCAGCAGCGTGCGTAATGGCAGGGATGAGGCCTGGCCCTGGTGGGGGCGGGAGGGCCGGGCTCGCTGACCTCCTGGCCCCAGTCGGCAGGCCCGGGGCCCCTGCTGGGCTGACAGGAGGCAGGTGGGAGTCAGCCCTCAGCCAAGTCCTCTTCCAGGGCGGGGCCACGGCAGTCATCATGCTTGTGGGAGACACGTACACGCTCATCAACTACGTGTCCTTCATCAACTACCTCTGCTACGGCGTCACCATCCTGGGCCTGCTGGTGCTCCGCTGGAGGTGGCCGGCGCTCCACAGGCCCATCAAGGTGAGGCCCGGAAGGGACCAGCCAGCCCACGCGCTGGAAGCAGTCAGGGCCACCCCTTTACCCGTCTGGGCACCAGGGGCGGCGACGGCAGCGATGGTGAGGCCAGCCTTTGCTGTGTGCTGGGCCCTGCTTAGGGCCCTGTGTGCACTGGCATATCCAGTCCTTAGGGCAGCCCCGCGGGGTGGGTGCTGGGAATACTCCCACTTCACGGACAGGAAAATAAGGCTCAGACGTTACGGTCACACAGGATTCCACGAGCCCACAGAAAACAGAAGACCCAAAACCGAGCTAAAAGAAAAGTCCTCCCATTTGCATATAAATCCTTGAGCTGGAGAAGTGCTCAGTGCCTGGAATGTGAAACACCTCAAAATCATTCACCTTCAGCCTAGTGCGAGTGGCAAGTGCACATACAGTCGCTGTGTGGAGCTCAGAGCCGCTGAAATTGACAAGCCCTCAACAATTTGGCCAACTGGCCAGCCACGTTGGGCTGCTGGCAGAAGGGGGTCCCTCGGGCCTCAGCTCCCAGGAGAGGGGGGAAAGGGCCTCAGACCCCCGGGGCGGTGGGGCAGGAGAGCCAGGGGTCCCGCGCCATTGGCACTGCCGCTCGCTGCCCCCCAGGTGAACCTCCTCGTCCCCGTCGCGTACTTGGTCT